TTGCAGGTAGCTCAGGCCGCTCTTGCTGCCAGTAAAGATTGGAGTAAAGGAATCCCGATGACTGATCATCTACTTGGCGTTACGTGGGAATTAAGAATTGTCATTAGGCGTGCCATGTGCTGCAACACACGTATACGAATATCCGGCGCTGATGGTGGAGATTGTCGAGTTTGAGAACGGATGGGGAAGCGACAGGCGGCGGGGGTCAGACGGGGCGGGATTCAGCCGTAGCTACTACCTCAGCGTTGGGAAGGTGCGAACCTTTCTGTTACCTCACCGTGGCCTTGGCTAGACTCAGCGCTCTGACATGCGCGTGGTACCGAGCACATGGAGAGTACCAGCGTAGTCGATAAACGGACCATGCACTATTCCTCGTGTCCTCCTAGTAGGCTTTAGCCGTTTTGTACCAAGGCAGCCCTGAAGTCAGTATACGGTGCTGACTATGTCTCGGCTAAGCCTGCTTTTTGATAGATGTAGAGAGCCCTGGCGATAGCATGCGAGTGCTGCATGCTCATGATGGGATGGTCTGCAAAATCAACAAGCTCAGCGTCGCGTCATAGAAACGACGGCAAAAAGCTTGGGACCAACTGCCAACACCGCAGACGCTTATCCGTGGTTCTGGCGTGGCGAGGCGTTCCAATAAAGCCGGAACCGTAACGGTAGAGTACCTGCTCACGTGCGGCATCGCGCTTGCCGGCCGAGGTCTTCATCAAGCTTAATTTAGGCGACGTGTCGATCTTGAGTTCCCCCAATCCCCGTCTTTTACCCTATCAACTTCACCGTCGACACGCTCTATTTGCGAAAAAGGACCGCGCATCTGACCAGGTCCATCGAGGATAGGCGCGACACCACTCCAATGCGCCGTATGATTACCGCACACCACTGAGCCCGTATCTCAAAGGGTGGCGTGAATAAGCCCTTGCATACCGCGTCTGGGCAGGAAGCCTCAACCGCTGCCACTGCGTCTTCATATCCGCTGGCCGAGGCTTGTCTTGTCGCTCGAAATTCTTGATGCCGGTACCCGGTGTCGTGGTGTCGCATGTCGCATGTCCGTCCCCTGAGCGTGCAATTACCGTGGCCGCAAATACGATCGGGGTCCGTTGCCCAGGTCTTGGGCAACGCAGAGAACATTCGGGAGACCCGCCTCGACGATAGCCCTGGCAGGATGGCCCTCGGAGGAGCGAATGGTAGCGTTCGGAGGAAGTCTTGGCTGTATGGCGCGATTGGCTAAGCCGTTGTCCGTATCCCAAGCTTCGAGCCATTATCTTGTCTATCTGCAGGCGGCCCCACAGCGTGGTTGTTGGTGGGAACGTCTGGCCTGCATCCCGCCAGCCTCCTCGATGTCTTGCCCGAATCAATCGCTGCGGTCGTCTTCCAGAACGTTTGTATCGACGCTATGCCAACGCTATCGCCCGCAGATAACCGCGTTTGCGGTCAAAAAGAGCAAGGTCGCTGATACCGCGATTGAAGAATGCATGGGCCATGGGCTGGGCTTCCAAGACCAGAGTCGTTGGAGGCGCGAGCTAGTGGCTCTGGGCATTTCTTGGGGACGACTATCGCTACCCCGCGACCACCTGCTTTAGGCAGGAGGTTAGTCGATGGCATGCGACTGGGGCGCCACAGGTAATTGTTATCTTGGAACCAGCAAGCTCTTCTTGTCTCGCTGCTTGCCAGTGGTGGTTAGCAACTTGGCGAGGCTTGAGTAGCCCAGGACGCCTCGGCGATGCGGTGCGAAAAGAGCATCGTGCAGCACCTATCGCGCACGCGCCGAATGCCTTTCCGGGCACAACAGCCGCGGTGGCAATGCGTTTGCTGATGGACAGACGGTCGTGAAGGAGTCGATACGGTGCCCATCCCTGTGTCGGTGTGCGCGCCTTCCTTATCGGGCCTGAAGCTGTAGAGCACGACGTCGGACCCGTGATTCGCGTGCTCAAATTAAATGCACCACCACCCCATTCTCTTTGCTCGTCAGGGTCTCTCTTCTCCTCGCCGCACCCCATAAACAATCACCTGGCTGCTTTCCCAGTCACTCAACCACGGTCCACCTTCACTGTCAAACGGCCTAGGTGCACGCCCATCATGCCTGTTGGTGACGCCGGTGAAGTCGTGAGTACACTCTTCTCAAGCTCTATTGCATACTTGCTAACAACCCTTGCAGCAAGCTGTCGGCTTGGACCCCGCTCTTATTGACGCTTCTGGCGACCCCACGCGCAAGCACCCCGAGATGCACACAACCTCTGCGCCCGCCTACCTCCACTCCGAGGGCAAGGCCACGCTCCAGGACAGCTACCTCAACGAGGCTGATGACTTTCCCACCGACGAGGAGCTCGCCACGCTTCGCCGTGTGCCCGCTAGGATCCCATGGAAGATCTTCACCGTACGTGATCGCACTCACAGAGCACGTGAGACAAACACTGACTTGACTTCAGATCGCTTTCGTTGAGCTTGTCGAGCGTATGAGTTACTACGGAACTGTTGCTGTATACTCCAACTACATCGCTAAGCCGCTCACTACGCCCACTGGAGCCGCGCTCAACCCAGATGATGCTGAGGCTCAGCCCGGTGCCCTCAACATGGGCAAGCAGGTCGCTTTCAGTTTGACTACATTCAACGCCTTCTGGGTCTACGTCTGCCCGCTTCTCGGAGCCTGGATCGCCGACACCTACCTTGGTCGTTTCAAGACTATTCTGTACTCCGTCTTGGTCGCTGAAATCGGTCACTTGATCCTCGTCGCCTCAGCTGCGCCGTCTGTCTTGGAGAACTCCAACACTGCCCTCGGCGTTTTTATCCTCGGTCTCATCATCATGGGTCTTGGAACTGGAACTTTCAAGCCCAACATTGCCCCTCTTATCGCCGAACAAGTTCCTCAGGAGAAGATGCGCGTTGAGACACGCGGTACTGAGCGCGTCATTGTCGACCCCGCTGTCACGGTCACCCGTATCTACAACTGGTTCTACTTCTTCATCAACATCGGTGCTCTGGTCGGTCAAATCAGCATGGTTTACGCTGAGCGATACGTTGGTTTCTGGCTCGCGTACCTGATCCCCACCGTCATGTTCATCATCGCTCTCCCCGTCTTGATCTTCTGCAAGAAGTTCTACATCCTCCGTCCCCCGAGCGGTAACGTTATGGGCCCTGCTTTCAAGCTTCTCTTCAAGGCTCTTGGACGCGGAATGAGCATCAACCCCGTTAAGACTTGGAAAAACTGGAACGACGGCAACATGTGGACTGCTGTCAAGCCTTCCGTCCTTGGCTCCGCCGCACCCAAGTGGTACAACTTTGATGACGCCTGGGTTGATGAGGTTGCTCGTGGTTTCGCTGCCTGCTCCGTCTTCTTCTGGGTGCCTATCTTCTGGCTTGCATACCGCCAGATGGACTCCAACCTGACCCAGATGTGCGCCACCATGAAGCTCGGCGGCGTCCCCAACGACATTCTCTCCAACTTGGACCCCATCGCTATCATCATCATCGTAAGTACTGTCCAATGGTCTAACGCCCAGAACGAATGCTAATCGTACTATAGGTGCCTATCATGGACTCTCTCGTTTACCCCTTCCTCCGCAAGCGAGGTATCCGCTTCACTCCGATCAAGAAGATCACCGCTGGTTTCATCCTCGGAGCCTTCGCCATGGTCTGGGCAGCGGTTCTTCAACACTACATCTACAAGACCTCGGGCTACTACGAGACCAAGGACCCCGAGTACAAGACCGACATCACTGTCTGGGCTGTTACCGGTGTCTACGTCCTCATTGCCATCTCCGAGATCTTCGCCTCCGTCACCACTCTCGAGTACGCCTTTACCAAGGCTCCCAAGAACATGAGGTCGCTCGTTCAGTCCGTCCAGCTCTTCACCACCGCCTTCTCTGCCGCCCTCGCCCAGGCTTTCACTCCTCTTACCGCCGATCCCCACATCGTCTGGAACTACGGAAGTGTAGCCATCATCTCCTTCGTCACCGGTATCGCCTTCCACTTCGCCTACCGGAACATGGACAAGAACGAAGACCAGCTCAACCTGCTGCCCACCGGTCACCTCGGCACGGAGGGTCAGGCTGCTGACATCGAGAGGCGCCAGAGCGTCAACGAGGAGAGGCGCGCTAGCCTTGTCGCTCAAGAGAAGATGTAAGCGGTTCACATCGCGATGTGTTGATGCATGATGTTGTGATTCGCTTATCGAGTCACCGTTCAACGATATACCCCTCAAACCTATTGGTTACCGCGATTAGGACGCTAGTCATGTGTTATGTGCCGCTCGCTGGATGCGTCGGCTACTGGTCATGGCTAGTTTACTTACTTTAATGCCAAACTATCACTTCAAATAAATTGTTCCGCTGCGTACTCGTGATGTAAAACTGAATAGATGAGAACTGAGTCGCCCACATCGCACTTGTCCACGACACTCTTGGCATTGATATGCAGTCCAATCAACCTTCTTGCATCTACCTGCCATACCATTCGAGTAAGAATTTTACTACATAAGGGAAGGGTTTATTTTCTCCAAAACGCTAAGGGTGTCAGTCATCGTTGCGACACACAGAGGAGTTGTCGCATCATTCTGAAACGCGTCCTAGCGCGTCGCCTTAAATTGCCTCTTAACACCCAGGTAGAGCCCTCGGACTCCTCTTACATCTACACAGCACTAGCCATCATCTTCCGATTCATATGGAATAGCCTTGACCACGACCGCAAAGTCTCAAATGTCGACTACTGAACTGCCAACTTCCCGCGGTGAAGCTTCCGCACATCTGGAAATGTACGCACTTTTAATATCTGACTTCTGCGTCACTGAAACTGACAGCACTTAGCTTCCGATTACAAGACCTTCCACTAGAGCTTCGCAATTATATCTACGAGTATGCGCTAGAGCCGAGGGTGACTCTCTGGCACAGTTGCTTGTACGACGAATACCGGCCGTCTACTTACCACTTGCCCAATCTCGAGCTGCATCCAGGTATGAAACATGCTAGATCGGCGTTCCTGATGTTGACGCAAGTACAGAAGATATGCAAGATGATGACGATCGATCCGACAGCTTCGAAGAAGATTTAGAAGGAGACAAGTACTTGGAGGATCCCAACTTGTCGATCGCGGGTAGCCCGCGTGATGATGGAAACACCGCCGTCTTGGCCTTCAAGATCTTGATAGCGACGCCTTTACTCGCTGTGTCTAAAGCTACCAATGAGGAAATGACGAAGGTACTAACCACCACCAAGAGATACTATGAGAGACTTCTGTTGTCGTCAATATATTTACACCGCATCACATCACCAAGCGCAGCTCTCATCGATTTATGGGCCAGCTGCGAGTTCTTCCTCCGGCACGACTACGGCAAGTCCATATTCTTCCTGAGAGATCTTCCAGACTCGCTGAAATCTTGCGTTCGCCGGCTGGTGCTCCCTTATGATTTCCTAAGTCTTATTGCATACTCGCGGTGGACCAAAGAGCAGTCAAGAGGTGGGGCCTTATTTACAAACTGGATCTCAGAAAATTTCCCCAACTTACGGACGGTGGCGATTGAGGTACCAGACGTGTGCGAAGTCATGGAAATGAATTGGAATGAGGCTTCGGACTATCTGTGCGAGATGCTCAAGAACGGCCGTTTGGACACCGTGAGATTCTATTACAAAGACTATGAGAAGGGCGAATGTGCACGTAGGGAAACAGATTCCCTCTTTTTTAGACACATAACGCTAGAGGGATGTGACTATGAAGGGACAGAAGAGGAAGATCGGTCATTACTGACTGGAGTTGAGGAACCCATATCCCCTACCTCACTGGCGTCTCAACTATGGCGCGACTTGCGGGCCTGCCGTGTTGTCAAGATCACGAGATCGCAGGCAACAGCCTAGTACAGCGGCTGCGATACATCTTAGCAAGGCTCCCGATCGTCTTGTTGGTCGTCAGCACACAGTTCAGGCGTTGGTCGTGGTCTCGACGAATTCAGGCGTAAAGTGGATCCTCGTTGTAGTAAAGACACAAAAGCATGCAGAGATTCAAAGTTTTAAAGTACGCGCAATTCTTGGAGCTGTGTGACCGTGTATGCTACTTGTGAAAAGACTCGCAAGGCTCGAGCGACGGAACAAGAAGAGGTCCTAGCGTTCGCGAGACGCGTCTCGACGCGTCGCGCTAGTGCCATCCCCTCCTTCCGCGAGGCTGGGGCTCCTCTTCCGTTGTGTTCGCAAGCGCAATACCGAAGCCCGGTTTTACACACACCAACAGCAATGCGTGAAGAGACGGCGGAAGCATCGCGGTCTGGGCATGGTGATGCCGCCGCACATCTAGACTCGTTAGGACTCTCCGCCGTACGCATCGCGCTTCTATAGCTAACAATGTGCAGATTCCGTCTGCATGACCTACCGCAAGAACTTCGCGATATGATATATGATTATTCACTTGAGCCAAGAGCGATCTTTCGGCATACGAACCGCGAAGATCAACGGGAACAAAACCAGGGTTACGACCTGCCAGAGACGAATCCTAGCAAAGGTACGCAGACTCGGGTGTAACCACCACGTCAGGACTAACTCTCCCATAGAAGACCCGCAGATGATTCTCGATATGATGAAAACACCGCGAGTGCTTGATGAGGACCAGCCAGTTCCGGACGAGCTTTACGATGTGTTTTGGAACGACCCTAATGGAAGCTTAGGCGCATTCTCTGATCACCAAGATGTAATGCTCACGTACAAGATCTTCATGTCGACACCACTACTTCTTGTTTCCAAGGAAGTGAATAGAGAGGCGGAGAGGGTACTGCGGGCCAACAAACGAGGATGGATCAATTACTACAACGAAGTCGCGCGATCCAACATACATTACCATCGGATCATTAAACCGACCAGGGCTTTCCAGTACCTTTGGTCTCGCAGTCAGGTCGTTCTGGAAAACACTACCGCGGATACCATGTTCTTCTTGCAGTTCCTACCGGAGGTCTTGAAGAAGAGCCTTCATAGTTTGATCATCACGAAAAGCTTGATGATCGAAAACGAATTGTCGATAGCACTCTGGCAAACTGACGACGAAAAGGGCGGATCGTTCATGTCAAACTTGATCAAAGAACACTATCCTAACCTGCGTACAATGGCTCTTGAGATACCAAGCACGGAGGAAGAGATGAGAAGCAATATCAATAACGCTTTCGGGCACTTATGCGATATGCTCAAGATGAAAGATCTAGATGCCCTCAGGTACTTCTTCAGGGAGGCTTGCTTTTCTCAATCCGACGGCTGGTTCCTCATAGATGTGGACCTAGAAGGGTGGGAGCTCAGCGATGAGTCCGACGACTATGAGGTGGGAGAAGACGAAATTTCGGAGCGCTACAAACAACCCCTGGATGGCGTGGAGGAAACTATTTCGCCTACTTCAATCGGGTCTGCAGTATGGCGCGATCTGGGAATGGAGCGCGTCGTCAAGATCACGAGGTCGCAGACAGCAGCCTAGCGCTGTGGCTGCGACGTATTCTAATATGTGTTTTGAATCAGACCTAGGTTGCATTAATTTTTCCCGTCGCTCCGTCCTCCAGTCATTCTCATTGCGACAGTTAGTCAGGGGTGTGCCTATTGGCTGTGCTACGCTACTCACCTCGCTCGGCGCCCACTCACCACTAGCTAAACAAATGTGTAAAAAAAAAAATGTCTGGAAATATTGTCGCAACGTCGCGGTACTGCTTACAAGTATAGATGCCTTATTGGTGGTATACGTTGCGACAACCGTGGTCAAAGTGTGCAACCATGGTACCGAAAGTCTGCCGCCTTCAGGCATCAAGATCACGTTTTCAGTTCCAGTATGTATATATTGCGCTTGGCTTCCCACTCTCATCTCATCTCTACAATTAACTTCCTGTTCCCATTCATGCTCTACAATTAAACTATTGCAGCAAATACCGAAACTCAGACATCATGACTCTTACCATGATTCAAACCTCAACCGAGTTCGAAGCGGATCAGCTCTACAACGCCATTCACTACTCAGATTTCGCCTATGACTACACAACGGCGGTTTCAGCCTATTTGAAAGACTTTCCTGCTCTCCCCTCCGTTCCGACCACCGAATACTCCTACGCACCAACCTCAATACCTACTTGGTGGCCAGACTTCACGCACAGTACACTTTTGTCAGACATGTCTTATCCAGTCTCACCAAGAGAGTTGAAATCTCTGATCGAAGCCGAATTACACCAAGGTCTCACGCAGTCAGCTATCCTCCAGCACTGGATGAAGAGATCTGGGAGCGAAATCCCGCTTGGCAGTGCCGCTGCAGCCGCAGCACTCCAAGACGCTATCATCGTGGCCTCTGATGCCGAGTGGTACGAGCACGATGACCATTTCATCACGGAACTCGGAATATCTGTTCTCGATCCGCGTTCCGTGCCACAACCATTTTCCTCATCACCATGGGGTATTCTCACCAGCATGGAGAACTACCACGTGCGCATCAAGCCCCACGCACATCTCACCAACAAAGACCTCTGCGAAGGGCATCCAGATGCCTTTCAATTCGGCAGCACAACCTTTGTCAGCGTGAAAGAAGCGAAAGAAATGCTGCGCAGCATTTTCACTCGCCGAGACATATACGGTAACCTACGTCCAATAATCTTCGTAGGCCACGCCGTCTCAAACGACTACGAAGTCATAAAATCGCGCTTTGGTCTCGACCTTGAAGAAATCGGCACCATCGTCGCAACAATCGACACACAAGTGCTGGCCGTAGAGCACGGCCTCGTAAACCCATCCCGCAAAATCCGCCTTGCACATCTCCTCGCCGAATACGACATCAAAGAACCATACCTTCACAACGCCGGCAACGACATCGTATGCACCATGATCGCCGCCTTCCTCATGCTTTGTCCACCCCCTGAAGCCCCGCTCAATAAGTTGCATTACGTAGACCTCAAAGCGCAACTCCACAATGCGGGCCAAACCGCCATCAAAGAAGGCCGCGGATATGGCGTCACGCGCTTTTGTGAGAAGTGTGATTCTCATCACCACACCGCACCGTATTGCCGTGTGAGTGTCTGGCACTGTGAACACTGCGAAAAAGACCCTCTGACACGACACATGGCGTATACTCATAATTCGCAGAAATGCATTAATGTAGTTAAGCAGGCTGCGCTGATCAAGAAACAGGGTAGCATGGGTTATGGACAGGGCGGGTCGAAGCGCTCGAGTAGTCCTAATGCTGTGCCGTGTGAGTTTTGTATTGAGAGTACAGATCCGAGACGGTATTGTAATGAGAATGCTTATGGGCATAAGACGGGAGATTGTGCGTGGCGCAGATAGAAAATGTGAGAAAATCAGATTAAGATATTTTTATGTTTGTGTTCTGGTTGCGTACATGTGATGATTCGCTGCATGTAGGGTGTTCAAATTCGGGATGTAACTGCCCAGGTATCTCTTGCGCATGGTTTCTGCGAGTTGAGGAAGGCGTGAATAGCTCATCGACGAATGCACTGTCATCGTCGATGCGCATGCATTGTTTGAGGAGATACCGGGTTGATCGAAATTACATATGTGGCCTAATTCGCCAGGTCGTCTTCTCGCTGCGAAATCTGTCTTGTTGAGTGGAAAGGTGCAGCGTGTCTGCCTTCCAAGGTTAGCGATGTCGCACAGCGTTGACGCGGTGACGTGAGGAGCAAACAAACATACCCTCGTTGCTGCCTACGCGCTTTCCCTTGAAATCTGGCACGTGCCTTTTCAATGTGACACCTTCCATCCCCATCGCTTCTGCACACATTCCGCTTTCCATTCAGCCTTGTTCTCTTGCGTCTTCGACGCACTACCGCTGCTTGCCGACAAGCTTCAGCATCTCTACACGCCTGTGTTACCTCATCGACCTGTCTCAGCGTTCACAGTCATGTCTTACCGCGCCTTTCACGACATGCCCACCGAGCTTATCGAGGCCGCCGCAGGCTATATGGACGACGCAGACCTTCTGTCCTTTCGCTTGACATGTAGACATGCAGACGCGAAGACTCTACGCGTAGTCGGCAAGCGCTTCTTCTCCAGCCGCAAGACTACTCTGATGGCGTCCGATCTCGAAAAGCTCGACGACGTCTCTCGAAGTGCGCGACTAGCCAAATACGTTAGGAACATCCGGATCGAAGACGACCAACTGGAGGTTGTATCATCTATGCCCTCGGACGAAGGCAACTGTCTAGCTCCAGGGGAGCTGATGATATTGAGAGCGAGGCATTGCAGATGGCTGGACGAAACAATGGTCGTCCCTGAGGTAGACAAGACCGCCGTTGCCAAATTGAAGGCCATACTCGAGGAACGCCTTTTGTCTCTGGATACCCTTGCTATTCACTACTCTGACACTAGAGATGTGGAGAAAGCTACAGAAGCTACCGTCGCTCTCGCTCAAGAGATCGTTCTAGACGGGAAACTTGCCAGTACCGCATTCTCAGTCTACCTCAGTTCCCGAGGGCTTTCCTGGGTAGGAGCCGTCTTGACTCTGTACTTTGATCGATCCCGAGAAGGCTTGGATAACAGACTGCTTCAGAATGTGGGAATGCAGCTGTTGTCTGGTGGGCCTCCGTTGGACTACCTACTTACCAGAGTTTCTCAGTGGACGCGAAGGTTGGGAGATCTCCGAATGGAGTGCTCAGGACCGCAATACGCCCTACTTGTCAACCTCGTGCACCAAGGAAGGTTCCTGCCCAAGCGGACGATCCTGCGGTTTTCGTCGTCAAAGGCGTTTCGTCAAATTCGCAGAACATCCTGACGAGTACCGGGTTTACCCGCATCTCCGTGGTCTCCGTGTCACGACCGGAAGACTTCTTGCGCGGAATTCTGGACAGATACCCTCAGTGGGAGACTTGGCGATTAGGCATTAGCTGCGATTCCTGGAGTGAGGACGGTGCAGATGTAGACACTTACGAAGTAGCAATGCGAGATGTGTCTGAGGGTTGCTTCGACCCTGCGCGGATCGATGGGGGAACTGGACAACATGTTTCTTTCTACTACCTGGAGGGGCACTAGTATCCCATTTGGCGAATCTTGTACTACTTGAACTATACAGATTGTGGCACTGTACGCGAGGATTGAATATATATATATCGTGTCGTTGACAAAGTTCCCTAATGTCCGAAACTCTTATCTATCAGATCGACCATTCTCAACATACCGCTCCCACCAATCATCCCACCCAAACACCACCCATAACCCCCTCCATCCACGGATAAACAGTCCCATTCGCCTCGGGATACCCCATATGCAGCCTCCCCTGCATAAACCGCATCTCCTTCGGACTCCCATACTCCGCCAGCAACATACTATCCTCCACTGGCATACACCCATCCAACACGCCATTCACAAGCAACAGCCTACAACTGCTCATCCCCTGCCCCACAACAGCCACGCCCTCGCCCTTCCCACTCACGAGCGAGAACTCGTCTTGGCACTTCTCTTTCATCTCGTCAAAGGACGAATAGCCGTATTTCTGGATATACGCTTCCTCGAGACCGAACGGGTACTCGTGTTTGGCGATCTGCGAGAGCCATTCCGAACCGATGTAGTGGTGTGTTCCGGCGCCGTGGCCGACGCTGCCGAGGAGTTGGGTACGGTGCGTGTGCGCGAGGCGGATGGCGTAGTAGCCGCCGGCTGAGAGACCCCATGCGATGACTTTCTTCTCATCGAGATAAGACGTTTCGCGGATCCAGTCTAGGATGCTGGTGAAGAGGCGGTCCGGCGAGAGCGGGTCGCGCTTGTTGGCGGGGCAGTCGACGGTCGTGCCGGGTATGTCGCAAGTTACGGTTGCCCAGCCGCGGTTTAGGTGCTCTAGGGTGCGCTCCGTGTTGTCGGGGCGGTGGCCGTCTAGGCCGGTGATGAGGAGGACGGTGGGGAAGGGGCCTGGGCCGGTGGGTTTGCGGATGTAAAGAGGGATGGAGGTGCCGTCGCCGTTGGAGGCTTGTTTGTGGGGTATTACGACCTCTTCGAGGGGGATGTCCCATAGTTGTGTGCCGCGGAAGTAGACTTCCTTTTGCTCTTCGAAAACTTTCTTCTTGAGCTCCGTGCCGATGTAGGGGAATCGAGCTAATCTGTATACAGCGTTTGCGTTGAGGTATAACTTCTCCGCTGCCTCTTTGTCCTTGCTTTCCATCTCTTTGGCTTCCTTCGCTAGGCGTTGCGCTGTTGGCAAGAAGGCGTTGGTGTATGCATCGTCGTAAGGATCGTTGATGTTGTTGTCCATGAGATGCTTGAAGATAGGTTCGAAATCTTCAAACTTGCCATCGTGGAAGGGGTAAACGCCTTTGGTGCAGGGGAACTTCCAACGTTGTTCCCAGAGCTTCTGGATACTGCCGCGGTGTCCATATTCCTTGGTGAAGAGGTCTCCGAGGATCCAATTTCCGTTAGGCATGATGCAAATATTTGATCGAGAAAATGTGCAAGGGTATATTCCAGGCGGGCTGCCAGCTGTTTGCATGTCGTCGTCGCGCATAGAAGCGTTGTATATACTGTCGTTTCGGGATCGGCGGGGCCGGCTCGCCAGTTGCTTCAGGCCCGTCCGGACGGACCCCCGCAAAATGAACTACGGCTTCCCGTAGTCTGCATTAACCAAACGTATATTAAACTTCCGATGAAGCTGACGTTGATCTACATGGATGGTGCGACTAAGTGGCAAGACCCTGAATGCAGGTACGTGGATATGCACTATTGCCCGGGAAACTCTTCTACCTCTTCCTCCTCTGCTTTACGCTTCACGTACTCTCTCAGGACATGCACTAATCTCGTCCTACCGTCTTGCCTCTCGAACACCTGTGCGTGGTCTACAGTAGGCCACCAGATCGTCTCTGTGCCGTGGCCTCTCCACTCGGAGTCCTTCCAGGTTCTGTCCTCGCCCTTGAGGTCAGCACCATTAAGGTACTTCCCAATGGTCTCGGTGTCAACTATCAGATCCCTGCCTCCGAGACTGACAGTTACGTCCCGGTCTTTGAGGTCCTCCTTCCACAGTATGTTTTGTGCCCAGAAGAACTGGCGCGCCAGGGTTTGCGCAACCATCATGTCGGTAGAAGCGAAGTAATAGAGCTGGTGCTCGTTCGCGCCTTTCGGTCGACGCGCGGTAAAGTTGTAGGCCACGTCGGGAAGATGTAACAGGAATGTAACAGGGTCGATGAAAACCATCGGGCCGATTTTGGCAGCGGTGATGGGGTCCCGAAGAAGGTGGGTGGAGATGACGGAGCCGTAAGAGTGACTGGCCAGGACGACTTTGTCGAAAGCATGGCGTTCCAGAATCATGTTGATCTGGCGACAAATGTCGTCTTTATCAGGAATCGCCCCAGTAATGCGGAAGCTGACAGGCATAATTTCCACAGCGACAATGCCGACCTGACCATCTTGTGCCGCAAGCGGATCGTGTTTGTTTATCTCGTTCAAGAACTCGACGTATGGGTGCAGGCCGATGCCGATGCCGTGTACGAAGAGAACGGGTAGTCGCGTCTTCGAGGTGTGTGGTCGATACCAGTAACTCAGATCAGGCGCGGATGAGATGTTGCGCGTAGTGAGATTGGCAAGTCGCGGTGGGAAGATGGCCAGCGAGGAGCGAAGGTGGGTGCGGAAGAGCATGAAGCCGTAGTAGCGCAGACGAGCGGCGGTGAGGGTATCGACCAGCATGACGATCTGTCGCCGTCAGTATCACATATAATCTCAAGACCAGCAGACATACCATATACCACAGAAACGGCCGATGCGCCATGTTGACTTGGTCGATAGTCAAACGCAGGCTCTTTGCGCTGCCCATACCAGGCGCCAGCTTCCTCCCCAGCATCGTCTCTATGCCATCCGCATACTCGTTGAGCTCGTCGTCCTCAGCATTGGTTTCTTCCGGGTGCGCCTGCCGCCTCTTCCTCCGCTCCTCATCGCTCTCGGTGCCGCGGTTCAGCAGCGCCCACGCAAAGAACTCGCGCACATTCTCGCGTCGTATTTCGCCCGGTCTCGCGCCCAGAAACCACCTGCTGACGTAGTACTCGGGGTGCGGGATCTTATCCCAGCATCGCCAGAAGAGCTCCTTCCTCTCCTCCTTCTCGAGGGGCGGCGGGTGTTGCGCGGAGGCTTGAAGCGCGCGCTTGCGGGGCAGGTAGACGAGCAGCCAGAAGGCGGTCTCGATGATGCTCCACGTGAGGAGGAAGCGACGGAAGGCCGAGTGCGGGGGCTCTGCGATGCTGAAAGAGACCCAGAAGATGCTGAAGGGCGTGATGGCGCGGAATCCCAGGATGCACGTCCTGATGAGCAGGTACTTGGGGAGCGTGTTCTCGATCATGGCGAATGTGCGACAGGATATTAGCTATCAGAAACTCAACCGCACCCCATCGAAAGACATAGCGGGGGTATTATCGTTATCATGGTCGAAGTTGTTGACGGCTACACGGCAGGGTTGCTGCTTACAGCCCGCCGATGACGCAGCTTCCTGCTGCTTTCTTTGGCTTAGTCAGCCGCGCATCACACTTCTCGCAACCAACACCGTATTCGGCAGAATGTACATTCATCCTATATTGTTTGCATCTATGCTAGACCCAGGGTATCTTCAAGGCGTTTTCAGCCGTCATCTGAACTTCCAAAAGCAACTAGTCACCTCCCGGCCTGTTCAAAGCGCCGCCAGTCTAACGCCGAAACACCTGTGCAGTCCTTCTGCCATCTCAACCTTGGTTGTATCCTCCCTGTCCTCCACGTGGAGGGTATCCACCACGACCGCGACCAAACGAAACGTTGCCATAGCCGCCTTGGCCGAGATGCCCGCCAAACCCCCTGACAGAAGGGTGTCCTCCAGGGCCTGGCGGGGCGAAGCCATGTCCACCAGGGGAGTCGAAGTACTGTCGGAGACTGTCATAGTTCATGGTAGAACCGGATGGACGAGTGGTACCACGACGTGACATGGGACGACCCCAGTTGGAGTAGAGCCCCCCACGATGCGGATTCTTGGTCTTTGGTTTCTTGAGGGCCCGAGCGATAGCGTCCTTCTCACGCCGAATGAGCGCTTTCTTGTTGGCTACACAGATGCAATGCTCGGTGACGTGTTCCTTTCCTGGCTCGATATCGCAATTGTTCTCCTCGCACTCATCACAATGAAGGTCTGTAGCTGTGCAATCTGGCTTCATGTGGCCGATAGTGCCGCACTTGAAGCAGTACTTCTCAACGCCACCGAGGCTATCATCGAAGTTCGCCACACTATGGCGCTCCAGATCTTCGGCCACTTGCTCCATGCTCTTGTGTGCGAACTTCTTGCACTTGTGTCCACCCAAAACGATTTGGAATGCGGAGATCAACGTACGAGCGGCGTCGTTTGCCGCCGTGTGGGAATCACGATGCTCGAAGGAGAGCTCTTCGACCATACGCCTGAGACCAACCTGCTCGTTCCTCGGCATCATCCAGTAACCTTTGTCACGAACCAGGAGCTGGGTGTCGATGTAGCGGACCACGGTACCGATTGGCTCCATGTCGAAAGCAATAGCCTTGGACTTGAGGTTGTTCAGATCGTGTCCGACGTCGTGGCCGAGAACGACGATGGGGAAGTTACCCTTGAGGTTGGGGAAGTAACCCTTGAGGCGGGGGACGTCACTGATGGGTTGGACAAAGAGGTCGGTCAGGATCTGACGCGCCTCGGCGAAGGTGACGAACCGGCCTCGGCCGAAGCGGTTGCCTTCGACTCCCCGCGATGCTGGATTCTGATTCGGGAGATGGGACGTCTCGATGGTGCGTAGGAGGTAGAAGCGGACTTCCTTCATCAGGTTCTCCCCATGATCACCGAAGTCTTTAGTGGCCACAATAGGCAATACATCTTGACGACCGAAGGTAGCGATGCCGACCTCGGTGGTCTCGTCCGTATTGTTCGACCAGTGCTCACAGTCAATACAGATGACGATAATGTGGTTGGCGAGGTCCTTGGCGATTTCGGGGATGTTCTTGACGAGCCTGCCTCCGACGCAGTGCTCCCACACTTCAAGGTCGCTGGCTTCTTTGAACCGGGCCTCGAGCGCGATGATCCTGGGGTCTCGAGCATCAGGTGTAGCGCTTATACTGACTGCGTTGAAGCTGGCTACAAGCGCGGCGACCGCGGGATCTTGAGCATCAGGTTGAGTACTTGGAGGCGGGGCAGCGGTGACGGGGACCGGTCCACCTTGGGTGTTCTGGGACATAGCGGTGTCGCTTAAGAGAGGTAGAGTACTGGGATGCGGTGAGTATCCCATGGCGGTGGGCGAGTCCGCTGTCTGCAGAGGTACGAAGTCAGTATATGTGTCATATGCACTTCGTACAGTCAGAACTTACCTTACGTAGTATGTCGTGCGCGTGGGCAATCTGAAGTCGACGATGTCGCTCGGGTTGAATGTAGTCGCGGGTTCTAGTTGCGAAAAGACAAGTAGAGAGTGCGGCGGAGACCAGAGGGGTAGGTACAAGAAACGCCGAATGTATAGGTGTGAACGGTCACTAGGCCAAGGTGAGCACGTATTTCATTGATCTGGTCAGTGAGCGTGAGCGTGAGCGATCTTGTGCCTTGGCCCGCCCCCGCCGCGCAAACAGGGTCGTCGTGGAGGGGCGGTAGTGAAAGTGAAGGAGGAGGAAAATCTTGGTGAAAAGTCGTTGGATATATGCTCGCAATCTGTAGATGGCAAATCTGTCGGCAATGGCAGCGTACTTATAAGTTGTGGCCTCAGCTCACCTGAAGTAGCGGATCATGGGTTCAATATCAGTCTCCCATGGCTATGTCCACTGGAGCGGATTAAGAGACTTATACTAAAAGAGCTATCCAAGGTACGACCCACACGATTGTCAAACAGCCAATCTCGTGCTTGCTAGAGCTACGCCTACACACCGACGTGTCCTCTCTACGAGCTAAGCTTTGCGGTATTGCACCGCTTCGATATCCTACGCCAATCGCACGTGACAACGTTGTGTCGCAAGCTCTTTTGCTGACGATGCTTCTCTTTTGCGAGAAGACCTGACTGTATGGGTACAAATGGATTTCGGAAGTTGTGAGTCGCTCGTTGCGATGGGTCATCAACGTCGTATCGAAATGTCGAAAAAGACGGTCACCTACACGAATTCTTGTAAGAATATTGCATTCTTGGATCACCTATAGTGGATACTATCTCTATCTGGAACAACATCGGACATCCTCAAAAACACCCAGGCAAATTCCAGAAGATTGAAGTACAAAGTATCCTACAGACAGTGTAAAGATACGCCAAGAAATGCGGTCATTACAGGGTGCCATATCTTTTCAATCCGACACACTACCTACACCTCTAGAAATCTGCAAGATCAAGCGCAGCCACCGCATTGGCGACTTTCTCGATCGAGGAGACCTCAGGACCTTTCATAGCATACGAGATGCAACGCTCAGTCATATGAGTACCCTTGGCCTGCTTGCGCTTGTCTGACTGGGAAGAGGCACAGTGGTCACACTTGACCTTTGCGTAGCAAAGCTTGCCTTGATAATTCCTCTTGGTATGGCCATACTTGCCACAGCGGAGACAAAAGAGGTCACTGCCCCAGCCCCACTGTTGTTGCTGACTAAGCAACTCGATGGTATCAATGACCTCCTGCAGATTACGGCCGTCCTCGGGCTTGAACTCGGGAGGCAGCACCATCTGGACAGCAGCAATGAGCGTCATAGCCGCGTCGTTGCTAGCGGTATGGGCATTGCGATAAGAGAAGCCGCACATGCCAACGAGGGTACTAAGCCCGATCTTATTGCCGCCCCAGGAATCGTATTTACACTCCTTGGCCAGGTACTGGGTGTCGATGACCTTGACGACAGTACCCAGAGCCATGGCGTTGAAGCCCAGCGTGGAGTTCAGCATGGACATGTCGCCAGACAGAGCATGGCCCATGACAACAACGGGACAGAAGCCCTTCGAAGCATCGGTATCGTCGACAGGCCATTGGAACATGGCGGTGAGCATTTCCTTGGCCTCGGACTTGGTGAGGAAACGGGTAGTGCCGAAGCGGTTGCTGCGTTACTGTTAGCTGACGTCCTTCAGTGTAGCAAGAAAGAGATGGTACTTACGCTTCAGGATCTCCAGGACACCACTTCAAGTTCAACAAGTGCGCATTTTCGAGAATACGCGCATGGTAGAAGTACACCTGCTTCAGCAGGTCCTCACCATGCATACCCGGACCTGCCAGTGCGCGCATGTCGCGAGAGTCAAACGTGGACACGCCGATCTCGGTTAGCGCGCTCTGCTTGCACTCCCAGTTCTCGGTGTCAAAGTTGACGACGATCATGTTCTTGGCGGAGGGTGGCACGCCGTCGAGGCTTGAGAGACCGAGACAGTGCGCGAGGACTGCGCGGCTGGACCTGCTGGCGAGGGCGAGCTCAAGCTGAGCGTTTGGGGAGAGGGGCGGAGGGGAGGAGGAGTCGTTGGAATCGCGGCTGGGGGAGCGGGAATAGCTTGAGTCGGACATCTTTGTCGATCTCAAGAGCTAGTAATATCAGTCAGTCTTGTTTATCAAACCGGGCTTCAAAGACTTACAGGTATGATCTGGTAGGAAAAAGGGGTGGTCGACTGCTCAGTCTCGCTGATGTACTTCTCTGACAGTTGAGACTTTTTCTTAACGGTGATTCGTTTCTCTTCGGCAGATTTCCCACGTATTTATACAGGCGCAGTGCTGCGAGTAGGCTCGTGCTGTATCACGATGATCTAGCACACTGCCAAGGGTGAATGTGTTGCAGGGGGGCTGCCTAGGTACTGTGACGTAAAAGAAGGGCGGTAGTTCCGACCGGAAGAGTTAAGAGTAGGCTCCAGAGTTCTGAGTAGGCTGGATCGTATGTCTGGATGTTGGTGTGGAAAGAGAGTTGGTAGATGTGTCGTGTCGAAGTGTTGCATTAATGTGTGTGGATTCCAAATTTTAAGAATCTGATAAGATGGTGGTAGCGAGATCTTCCAACCAAGGCTGTGCAGATAAATAATTAAAGTACGAATAAGAGACCAATGAGATGACTGGGAATGGCATACTACAAACGTGGCTCTGATATATAATCCCATGGTCGGTATTCGCCGGTATTACTATTCTATATAGCGAGAGGCGAGCCAGTCAAGACTTCGGCAATCCAAATCACCATCTTGAGAAGAGGTATATAGCATCGAAAAGCAAAGCGGTGGCAACAATCGATAATTCCAAGCCCTTAAGATTTCTTGTGATATTTTCGCGCCTGTGGTTAAGTACCTTAACCCAGCACACCAAAACTTGCTTGCTCAACGTGCTTTCCGTCCGACAGTGCTAACGCAAGCTCTTTTGTGCGAGACATAAGTTTATTAGCACAGACGAGTCTTCGTCGAACGCATGGATCTTTCTCACATGTCTGATCGATGCAAATCTAAGTTATAATCATTTGAGCGGCGCAGACGAACAACTACGCAGCATGATAAGCAACACTGCCGGAATCGAAACGACTGAGTTCCACGTAATACTTAAATATCATTCTAAAGATCTAAGCTACTTTGTGCCCGCGGCTTTGAAAAGCTTAGCGTCAGTCGCTAAGTCTGCCTGTGAGCCTAGGTTCACGATACAGTCGTGCGCCACCTGCCGGCGGCTGTCCACCCCTTGCCTAAAATTGCTACTACTGGTTGGACATATAGTTGGGCAGTGTAAAATGGAGATGCATGCTCCATCATTAGACCCGTGCCAACATATAACCGAAAGTCGATGCAGGTCGTTTGGAGATGTCATTTGTGGGAATGCAAGCGTCAGATGAGGGATGAGGTTTTTTGGGTGATGTCATGGGACCGGCCGCACGTGGCGGGCCGTGCGCTCATCGCTGTTCCTGCCCCGTCACTGGACGTATCACCACTGTACCTTCATTTCCTAGACTTGCGTGTTCCAACATTGTCATCTAATGTCTACGACAACGACTTTGACACTTTACTCTTATGCAGCATTTCCTCTATATCGTTCTATTGTACCTTGACTGAAGATCGGCGGCTCTCCACAAGCTTCCCCGCATTCCACCTGCAGCGAGTCAGGCCAACTCCACGTGTTCGCAGCAAAGGTTGCGAAGTACCTCGCGCATGGATTCCTCGTCTCCTCTCTCTCGCATCGATACACTAGTATCAGATATGCCGTTGGATAAAGACAGTAACACCGACGTCGTTCTACGCGACAGACTGAGTGCGCTGCCCGATGAGCTGCTGCTCCACATCTTCGAGGCGGTTGGTTGCCTTTCCAGACGCGACCTCTGCAACGTATCGCGCGTCAACAAACGATGCCACCGCCTCAGTGACGCCGTCTTATATAAGAGCATTCTGTTCGAAACTCCAGAGCTGCACCTCACATTCAGCGAGTCATTGAGTCGTCGCCCGCGCCGCGGCTCAGCCATCCATGAAATCAAGCTGGCCTACCCATCTTCGGAGCTGTCGCAACTGGCGCTTGATGCACCTGTCGCCGGTTCATACCTGGATCCCAAGCGCTCAGATAGCCTCTCACGGACTTTATCGATAATGTCAAATTTGGAGAAGCTCGATATTTCCGTCCCCGACGTGCTCCTACACGGTATCGGTACCTTGTTCAACGGACCCTTCGATCTCGCCTGCTTGAAGTCTTGCTCACTATTCTACCAATGCGCTAATGATGCTTACTGGGACCTCCGCGAGAACATACATATCTTCGCCCATCCTACGCTGGAAACCTTGACGATCCGCAGAGCTAAGCTAGACGAGAAGGGCTTCGATCACATTGAGCGGCCGCACATGACTGCGCTCAAACAACTTCACTTGATCGAATGCGATATTAACGACGACTCGCTTGGAGATCTCCTCGAACTACCGGAAGCGCTAGAGGAATTTGTCATGACGCAAACAGAAGAACCGGAGCCAGAACTGGAAGAAAGCTCTGATAACGTTGGGGACTATATCCTGGCTGCTCAGTCACAAGCCGAGTTTTTGAAGAGCATAACGATCGATCACCCAACGCTTACCGGACGCAAGGTACTACGTATGCGCGAGTTTGCAGCGCTCAAGACGTTGCGCCTGAACTGGGATTACCAGCTATTTGGAAAGTCATCTAAGAAACCGCGTCTTCATTCCGTTGGTCTCCCGCCGGTTATGGACACACTCGAGTTCTTCAACGAACTAGGAAGCGACGCTGAGGTCACAGACCTTTTGTTGGCTACCATCGAGCAGAAGGATATCGTTGCTAGGAATTGGAAGACTTTGGTTGTGGTTGAGGGCGAAGACGGAGTATCAAGGGAAATCAAGAACGCGTGCAAGACAGCGGGGTTACAGTTGGATATTATTGGGGCTATGGATGAGGATACCGAATCAGAAAATGAATTGGACGGCGAATCGGACAGCGGATCGCAAGGCAAATTCTGGGCGAAACCGGATGCCAGGACCCAGATATCGGACAGTGAATCGGAAAGCGAATCGGGAGATGACCCATGCCTTAGGGTGAACAAGGACATCGAGTCAGATAACGATGAGAGCATTTCAGGTGCTCGCCGTTTCATGTAAGGGTACCATTAGACTGACTGTGTTGCAAACATGTTTAGACTACACTGGCGACGTCTTAGAGCTTGGAAATGCATATAGACTTGGCTTCATGCGCCATATTATACCAGTCCATTACTGCAATACCAGCGTATACCTCCCTTTCATAACGATCTTCACTTTCCGGCCATTACCCGTATTCTTACTCGTCCTTTCAACTGCTCTCCTCTTCTTCGAGCGCCTCTTTGCTTGTCTCTTATCTTCCGCGTTGTCTTCGTCAACCTGGTTCCTTCGCCTCCTGCTATCTCTCCAGCCCTCTACGTACAGCCAAATCTGTCGCATTACACAAATAAACACCATTACGATATGTTCCGCTTTAAGCTTGACATGTGCGGCGGGGATGTAGGAGATATTTGGCCTAGGGATAGAGCCGAGTAAGGTTACTGGCAGAGATGCTATGCGCGCGAGCGCGGTAGTGGTGCTGTTCATCATGGTGAGGGGTTTGCGGTTTGTCGCATACGGTGGGTATAGCAGGGGCAGGTTTGCATTTGGCGTAGTATATGTGTAGTCTTCAACACGTCTCCGGAAATCACAGAGTTCCGCATCATAGCAAGGCTTGGAGATATTCAATATATCTTCAAGTACCCACGTACATCCAGTAAGGCTAGGAAGTACACCAGGACCATCTATGTCACGTTCCTCCACACCTCATGATAACAGCCAGGTGATCTCAATCACTCAACAACACTTCAACCATGGAAGCCCATCATACCTCCTCGTCCCCTCGCTCCACCACCACGACCTCGACCACGACCTCGATGACCTCGGTAGCCGCCACGTCCATGACCTCGGCCTTGACCTTGTGGAGCAGGCCGGTAGCTATTGACCCTGTTCCGCATCTTGCGGATGCTGAAGTTGACGTCTTCAAGCCGAATCACAAAGTCACCCGCCATGACCACCGAAGCAGGAATATCTTCAAGCACATCATTAGCACCGCAATCCTTTCTCAAGTTTCGAAGACATCTTACTCTCATCCTCGGTATTACCAGGAACCTCATTCCGCTCTTTCATGTGCTTGATGACGAACGCGATGGCCTCCAACTTGAAACCAGTGCGCGTCATATCCGCCAGACGGCTAAGCGCGGAGATGAGCGCTAGACCCCAGTTGTGGCAGTCTGGATCGGGGAGGTACTGGACTGGGAATGGGGTGGCCATGGAGCGGAACTCCCAAGCGGCACCAGCGGACGCCAGGAGGCGGGTGATTGTGGCCTTGGTGTCTGGAGGAAGGGTGGCGAAGTCGTGGAAGGTGGGGCTGTTGTCGATGAAGTAGTCCTCGGCTTCGTCATTCGCCGCGTTGGTGTGGTCTTCGGGGTCGGCCATCTGGGTGTCCTCCATCGTGTTTCCGGTGTCGTTGGCGGATATGGTGTTGCCAGTGATGGGGTCCACGGTGATGGGAACAGGGGCGTTGCTGGCGTCGATGAGGTCCATGGTGACGGTTCTTGAGGTGCTGATGTGTCGTGGGTAGTACAATTGATTGATACGAGCTTGAGTGTTATCAAGATAGCTTGTGTCGATTGTCAAGCGGGGGTGTAGGATTGATCGAGGTATAGTCGTCGTGGACCTATATATACAGACTGGCAAGGCGCTAATCAGGAAGTCGCAGTGAAGGAGCCTGGATGATGTGTATATGCTAGCGATGCGCTGATCGTAAAGACGCGGTGACGGGCTCCCTCACCGCGAAGGCGAGACAATGTCGTAGTTCCTCCATTGTTACTCCTATTCCGTGGCCGAATTGCGCTCGTGAAGCTCATGTGGATAGCTCTGCTGTTATAGTTGCCTAGAATTCGTCGTTTGCTCGCACACTGTTTCCGTGATCTTCATCACGTTGCTGGGCCTCCTGACGTCTTCATTTGAACATGGCTTGCATGCGCGCAAACGCCGACTTTTTTTGTTGTTGCGGTTGCTCCATCGCAAAACCTCCAGCTCCGTTGTTCCCGTGATTATTCAACATAGCATTCGCGGGTAGTTCGATAGGATCGCTATTGTCGACCGTTGGCTATAACAGATCAGCTTCCCTTGTCCTAGCGCAATGTTTACTTCAAGAACGGCACTCACTGCTGCCATATAGCCATCAATCTGCTGCGGTTGGGCAAGTTCAGGCCTCCCTTCTCCTTGCAACTCCTGCGGTCCATTGTGTTTGTATTGGTCTCCATGCAGCTCCGTCGGTACATGCGCTTGTCCTGCATACTGTGGTGGCATGATTCCGCTGCTTGGGGCGCTCGGTGGTGCAGTATACTGAACCCCGACGTACTGCGCGTTCTGTTCCTGCATCCTGCGCATAGCCCTTTCGCGCCTCCGCTGTGTACTACAAATTTTCATAAAAACGACTGTGCAGAAGATGCCAGTAACAAACATGATGACAAGGATTATGACCGCTACAGTGCCTTGCAGCGAAAGATTGGTGTTGCGACGTTGGATGGGCGCCATGTTGTCTGATTGATAGTTGGGGTTGGAGATGCGGTTTTCGAGTATGAGAGACGCGAGGGGATCAAACTCGCCAACATGTCACGGCATCTGGGAGGCCTGAGGTGTACTTAACCTCATAGCATGGATGCGATAGGCCGCCTGAAACTCATGCGCGTCTGGGCACAAATTTGGTGCACCGCCATGGACGTGATAGCGGCGCAGCGCTGTTGGGGGCCAAAACGGGTACGCGAGGCTGACCTCTCGGTGCTGCCAAGGTTGAATTCTCCGAGACCGGCAGGTACGGCATGTCTCTATCGAGGAAGATGGGACCTGGCGTTGAAGAGATACGAGAAGAGAGTCGATCAAATGAGGTCTTACATTTGGCGATAGGCCTGAGAGGTGTGCTGCTTCAGAACCAGTCCTGGTTATTGTGTAGCATGTATCACGTTGTTCAAGCCGATCAACGCCTCCTCCTGATGGCACTTGCACCACTCTTCGGAAACTCTCAGCGAGGACGAAAGATAATGTCCAGCTTGGTGAGTATCTATCGGATCGTGAGGTCGTCGAAAGCTTGGTAGGGCTCCCGCGCTTGAGCCTCGCGGCGCTTGCATTAGCGTCGATTAAGTCGGTTGATGACGCGCAGTTGGATCCAAGACGAGATGACGTGTGACATCTGGCCAGCGCGAAGAATTCATTGAGCTTGGGAATCGAACGTCGCAAACTCTGAATCTCTTCTGTCGGACGAGATTCGTTATGCTGCAGCAAGGGTGAGGTGTGTCTTGATCGCCAAGCTCGGCTGTGTCTCCCCTCGACCCATGGTTTTCGCGACTACGCGCCGACTCTGCCACAACACCCCACGCACTTCTGCCTGTGCGCCCGCCTATCGTACAATCATCCTACCACACCACGCCGTGTCATCTCAAACGCGCACATCTCTAAGAGGAGATAATCGTGCTACACACTACAACAGTCTCGACATACAGTCTGAGTATGCACTCGCCGCATAGACACATCCGAAGACGTCAATACTACAAGAACCAAAATGGATGAGGACCTCCGTCTCCTCGAGGTATGCAACGACGCGAGAATAGACAATTGTGCGACGTCGCTAACGGGAATGCGACTTGCAGCAGGAATACTGCCCCACGATAGACCCCACTCTTCTTTACACGATATACTCGGATTTCGCGGGAGAACCGAACGCAATCGATCTTACTAGGCAACTGCTCGAACCCCTGAAGTTGACGGCCGACGCCGAAGCCCTCGATTTTGACCCCTCTGGCAGCAGCGGAGGCGCAGTTCAAGGCAGCCCAGACAAACACAGTACCGATGTCGACTCCAATGCTGATTCGTGGACGACGCAAACGGTAGCGACGGACCACTCGACACTATCGAACGAATTTTCTACACTCAGTGTCAACGGACGGTCGGGGGGCTCGGAAGGGTCCCTGGAGGATGGGTACTACAAGGATATTGAGCAGTCGGACGTCTCCACAAAAGAATTGCTGCTTGCGGAAACCTTCCCAGGTCTGCGGCTCGCGCAGGTCACGTACACACTGAAGAAGTGTGGATACGATTACGATAAAGCGACGGATGAACTGTTGAACCAAGTCTTCTTCGATGATAGTAGGAAAAGCCCTACTGAAGAAGGTCCAGTCGCGAAGGGTATTGATGCATTCTCAGAAGACCATCTTGTACCGCAAAAAGGCAAGAAAGCTAAGAGCAAGAAGAAGCAGAGACTCTCCTTGGAGGCGGGTACTAGCTACCTCGTCGAATCGGATGCGCCAACCAATCGCTGGCAAAACACGAGTCGAGATGTGGACTTCATAACGTCGCGTACGGGTCTTCCAGCGAAGACGGTATCGTCGCTTTACCACGCGAATGGAACGTCCGTTTCGGCGACTGTGCTGGCCATTGTAAAGAAGGATATTGCAGCACACAAGAAAGAGGGTGAACCAGATGCCGCACTGGTACAGGATGCAATCACACTGAACGAGGGCTTTCCTTCTATGGATCTGGAGCACGCCCTTGCCATAGTGCGACTTACTGCTCCTTCGACGATAAAAGCCCAGGAGTTAGCGAAATCCCTCACCCAACAACCTGCTAGCGAGACAGGTGGAAAGGGTGGTATCAAACTCGACTTACGATATGCTCCTGTCGATCTATCTGACCCTTCCGAAGCTACGAGACTCCCTACTTTGACTCCCTCTGTCCGACCACGCGACGCGATGTCCACAGCTGCTGCACGAAACGACGCATTCGGGAAAGCATCAGGTGCCTACCGCAAGGGTAAGTCGACACCACTCATGAGGCAAGCAGCCGCGTACTATGCACAAGAAGGCCGCGACCTCAACGCCAATCTGAGAGCAATGAACGCAGCCGAAGCCGACGCATTTGTTTCCACACAATCTGGTCCAACATACCTCGACCTCCATGGCGTTACTGTGGCCGACGCAACGAGAATCGCCAAACAACGAACACAAGCTTGGTGGAACGGTCTGGGCGAGCGCAGAATACCCGAGTGGGGCGGTGCTGGTCGCAGAGGTGGTGGCGAGGCATACAGGATCATCACAGGTTTGGGCCGACACAGCGAGGGCGGAAGGGGAAAGCTGGGACCTGCAGTCTTGAAGACGTTAGTCAACGAAGGATGGAAAGTAGAAGCAGAGCCTGGTGAGCTGTATGTCACAGGGCTGGCAAGGAGGAGATAGTGAGCTTCGATGTTTAGGCAAGATCTTGGTGTATATCAGGGATGTATGGCGCACGGGATGTTGGAGCATGTTCAGCGACAGTGCCATTGTGGAACGTATGACAGAGAAGAGATGCGATTGGATATCATCAAACACGGATTCAAGACATCCTGAGTGTTCGCTCTTTCCGTCTTTCAAAGCCAAGGCTAGCGGCGCGCTAAGGTTTTAAGCTTCTTTGGACTCCACCCACCATCCATTGCCCCCGTCTTAATCACTCACCCTCAATCCAGGTCGCTCACGAAACCTTCGGGACCTGTCAAAGGCGCTCTCGTACATCCACTGTTCCAGTCGTAAGGCTACACCCACGATCTGCCTTAGTTTCGAAACCAAAACACGCGTACTTAGCCGACACTTAACGCGCCAAGCTGTCGTTTCACGGGTGCTGCGACGGAACCAGCGACACCATCACTCGGAAGACGCGTCGACGATTGACCAAAAACAGAAATCGGAATATGATATGCTGTCACGTCTATCACGGCTCACTGACAGCGCGAGGAAGGCATCGCGATATGATTTGAATTAGGAATTTACAAGGTCAAGCGCTTCCCCAGCGATTCCACGCGACGCCAAGGTACACTTCGTGCTTAAGCTACGAGTCGTCCACCGAACAAGCAATTATGTTTTGCGTATAGTATGCGGAACCAGCTACACGACCAGTGTTTCGCGTCCGCCCGTTGCAGTACCAAACGACACATGCCCGCGCGACAGCACAACAGCCTAAAGGCATGTGCGTCTTCGCGCACGCTATGCTACAGCGTACCTACCATGACGATCGACAAAACGTTCGAACAAAAGGCTAGAACGCATGCACCGTTTGATACGGGACATGCTCCACCCCATCGGGCCGTTCCCCATGGAGGGCATGATATATAGAGAAGGTCTTTCCATGCAGTATTACTATTCATCAGTTCGATACTCATCCAGGTTACTCAGTCTTCTTCTCTACTTCTATTCAATCATTCTTCCTTGTATATATCGCTGCTAGTCGGCTTTTATCTTACCTGTACATTCTCTACTTACATCACTGCCGGGCAGCTGATCTTTAATCCTCCTTCACATCCTTTCTATCCGCCAATATGAAGTTCGACTCGTCCATCCTTATCGCCTCCTTGGCGGCGACCGCTGTTGCGGCTCCGGCTCAGGAACCTTGCGATCACACTGCTATGGCTAAGCGATGGGTTGACACCACTGGTGGCCAGAGGATGCCTGCACACTACGTCGCTACGGTCCGTAAGCTCTCTTCCGAGAAGGTTAAGAACAAGCGTACACTTGACG